CCCTGGTGGTCCCTGAGGGTCCCTGTGTATCCCCAGGGGTCCCTGAGGGTCCCTATTGGTCCCTGGGGGTCCCTGGGGGTCCCTGGTGATCCCTGTTGGTCCCTGTTGGTCCCTGTGTGTCCCTGGTGATCCCGGGGGTCCCTGGGTGTCCCTGGGGGTCCCTGGTGATTCCTGTGTGTCCCTGGGGGTCCCTGTTGGTCCCTGTTGGTCCCTGTGTGTCCCCAGGGGTCTCTGGGGCTCCCCGGGGGTCCCTGTTGGTCCCTGTTGGTCCCTGTTGGTCCCTGTTAGCCCCTGGTGGTCCCTGTGTGTCCCTGTTGGTCCCTGGTGGTCCCTGTGTGTCCCTGTTGGTCCCTGGGGGTCCCTGGGGGTCCCTGTTGGTCCCTGGTGATCCCGGGGGTCCCCAGGTGTCCCTGAGGGTCCCTGGTGATCCCGGGGGTCCCTGTTGGTCTCTGGTGATCCCTGATGTCCCTGTTGGTCCCTGTGTGTCCCCAGGGGTCCCTGTTGGTCCCTGTTGGTCCCTGGGGGTCCCTGTGTGTCCCTGGTGGTCCCTGGTGGTCCCTGTGTGCCCCTGGTGGTCCCTGTGTGTCCCTGTTGGTCCCTGTTGGTCCCCAGGGATCTCTGGGTGTCCCTGAGGGTCCCTGGGGGTCCCTGTTGGTCCCTGGGTATCCCTGGTGGTCCCCGGGTGTCCCTGGTGGTCCCTGGGTGTCCCTGGGGGTCCCTGTTGGTCCCTGTTGGTCCCTGGGTATCCCTGGGGGTCCCTGGGTGTCCCTGGTGATCCCTGTTGGTCCCTGTTGGTCCCTGTTGGTCCCTGTGTATCCCTGGGGGTCCCTGTGTGTCCCTGGGTGTCCCCAGGGGTCCCTGGTGGTCCCTGGTGGTCCCTGGTGATCCCTGGGGGTCCCTGGTGATCCCTGTTGGTCCCTGTTGGTCCCTGTGTGTCCCTGTTGCTCCCTGGGTGTCCTCAGGTGTCCCTGTTGGTCCCTGTGTGTCCCCAGGGGTCCCTGGTGGTCCCTGGTGGTCCCTGGTGGTCCCTGGTGATCCCTGGTGGTCCCTGTGTGTCTCCAGGGGTCCCCAGGGGTCCCTGAGGGTCCCTGGGGGGTCCTCAGGTGTCCCTGTTGGTCCCTGTGTGTCCCTGGGGGGTCCCTGGTGAAACCTGGTGTCCCTGGTGGTCCCTGTTGGTCCCTGTGTATTCCCAGGGGTCCCTGGGGGTCCCTGTTGGTCCCTGTGGGTCCCCGGGGGTCCCTGAGGGTCCCTGGTGGTCCCTGGTGGTCCCTGGTGATCCCTGGTGGTCCCTGTGTGTCTCCAGGGGTCCCCAGGGGTCCCTGTTGGTCCCTGTGTGTCCCTGGGTGTCCCCAGGGGTCCCTGAGGGTCCCTGTTGGTCCCTGGGTGTCCCTGTTGCTCCCTGGGTGTCCTCAGGTGTCCCTATGTGTCCCTGGGGGTCCCTGGGTGTCCCTGGTGTCCCTGTTGGTCCCTGGGTGTCCCTGGTGGTCCCTGGTGGTCCGCGGGGGTCCCTGGTGGTCCCTGTGTGTCCCTGTGTGTCCCCAGGGTCCCTGTGTGGTCCCCGGGGGTCCCTGTTGGTCCCTGTGTGTCCCTGTGTGTCCCTGTGTGTCCCCAGGGGTCCCTGGGGGGTCCCTGGTGATCCCTGGTGTCCCTGGTGGTCCCTGTGTATCCCTGTTGGTCCCCAGGGATCTCTGGGTGTCCCTGAGGGTCCCTGGGGGTCCCTGTGTGTCCCTGGGGGGTCCTCAGGTGTCCCTGTGTGCCCCTGGGGGTCTCTGTGTGCCCCTGGGGGTCTCTGTGTGTCCCTGGGGGGTCCCTGTGTCTCCAGGTGTCCCTGTGTGTCCCCTGGGTGTCCCCTGGGGGTCCCCTGGGGGGTCCTCACCGCCTCTCGACGTCCTGGACGGTCTCGGGCAGGGGGACGTTGCGTGTCTCGGGCAGGAAGGAGGCGGCCACGGCCGACACGATGGGGGCGGCGCCGTAGATGACGAGGGGCAGGGCGGGGGTCACGTCGGCCGCCATGCGCACCAGGGGGGCCACCATCCCCCCCACGCGGGCCATGGTGCCCCCCAGGCCCATCCCCGTCTGCCTGCGCCGCCAAACACACCACGGGGGGGTTGGTGAGGGGGTGGGGGATGGGGATGGGGCTGGGAGTTGGGGTTGGGGTTGGGGTTGGGGTTGGGTGGTTGAGGTTGGGTGATGGGTGGTTTTTGAGTGGTTGGGATTGGGTGGTTGGGGTTGGGTGGTTGAGGTTGGGGTTGGGGGCTGGGGTTGGGGTTGGGTTGGTTGGGATTGGGTGGTTGGGGTTGGGGGTTGGGGTTGAGGTTGGGTTGATGGGTTGGTGGTTTTGGTGGTTGGAGTTGGGTGGTTGAGGTTGGGGCGTTGGGGTTGGGTGGTTGGGGTTGGGTGGTTGGGTTGGGTTGATGGGTTGGTGTTTTTTGGATTGTTGGGGTTGGGTGGTTGGGGTTGGGTGGTTGGGGTTGGGGGGTTGGGGTTGGGTGGTTGGGGTTGGGTTGATGGGTTGGTGTTTTGGTTGTTGGGGTTGTTGGTTGGGGTTGGTGGTTGGGGTTGGGTGGTTGGGGTTGGGGTTGGGGTTGGATGGTTGGTTGGGTTGTTGGTTGGGTGGTTGAGGTTGGTGGTTGGTTGGGTTGATGGAGTTGGGTTGTTGGGTTGGGTTGATGGGGTTGGGTTGATGGGGTTGGGTGGTTGGGGTTGGGCTGATGGGGTTGGGTTGATGGGTTGGTGTTGATTGGGTTGTTTGGGGTTGGGTTGGTGGTGGTTGGGTGGTTGGGGTTGGGTTGACGGGGTTGGGGTTTTGGGATTGGGCTGATGGGGTTGGGTTGATGAGGTTGAGTGGTTGGGGTTGGGTTGATGGGGTTGGTGGTTGGGATTGGGCTGATGGGGTTGGGGTTGGGGGGTTGGGGTTGGGTTGATGGGTTGGTGGTTTTTGGGTGGTTGGGATTGGGCTGATGGGGTTGGGTTGATGGGTTGGTGGGGTTTTTGGTGTTGGTTGGGTTGTTGGTTGGGTTGTTGGGTTGTTGGTTGGTTGGGTTGTTGGTTGGGTTGTTGGTGGGTGGGTTGTGGATGATTGGGTTGATGGGTTGTTGGGTTGTTGGTTGGGTTGTGGATGGTTGGGTTGTTTGGTGGGTTGTTTGGTGGGTTATTGGTTGGGTTGTTGGTTGGGTTGTTGGGTTGTTGGGTTGTTGGTTGGGTTGTTGGTTGGGTTGTTTGTTGGTTGGGTTGTTTGGGTTGTTGGTGGGTGGGTTGTTGGTTGGTTGGGTTGTTGGTTGGGTTGTTGGTGGGTGGGTTGTTGTTTGGGTTGTTGTTGGTTGGGTTGTTGGTTGGGTTGTTGTTGGTTGGGTTGTTGGTTGGTTGGGTTGTTGGTTGGGTTGTTGGTGGGTGGGTTGTTTTGGTTGGGTTGTTGGTTGGGTTGTTGTTGGTTGGGTTGTTGGTGGGTTGTTTGGTGGGTTGTTGGTTGGTTGGGTTGTTGGGTTGTTGGTGGGTGGGTTGTGGATGGTTGGGTTGTTGGTTGGGTTGTTGTTGGTTGGGTTGTTTGGTGGGTTGTTGGTGGTTGGGTTGTGCCCCAGGGGTGCCCCCCCGCACCTGATGACGGTGGGGAAGAGCTCCCCGGAGAAGATGTAGGCACAGTTGAAGGAGGCGGCCAAGGAGCCCTTCCCGACCACGGCCAGGGCCATTCGCAGCGTCGGCATCTCTGGGGGCACGGGGGGGGCTCACCCTCCACCCTCCAACCTCCCAAACTCCACTCTCCACCCTCTACACCCCACCCTCCACCCTCCAACCTCCCACCCTACACCCTCCACCCTCCACCCCCAACCTCCCACCCTCCCACCCTTCACACTCCAACCTCCCACCCTCCCAACCTCCACCCTCCACCTCCAACCTCCCAACCTCCACCCTCCCAACCTCCCACCCTCCACCCTCCACACTCCCAACCTCCCACCCTCCAACCTCCCACCCTCCCACCCTCCACACTCCAACCTCCCACCCTCCAACCTCCCACCCTCTACCTCCACTCTCCACCTTCCACCCTTCACACTCCCAACCTCCACATTCCCACCCTCCACCCCCAGCCTCCCACCCTTCACCCTCCCAACCTCCCACCCTCCACCCTCCACCCTCCCAACCTCCCACCCTCCACACTCCCAATCTCCACCCTCCCACCCTCCCACCCTCCCCACCCTACACCCTCCCACCCTACACCCTCCCAACCTCCCACCTTCCAACCTCCCACCCTCCACACTCCACCCTCCAACCTCCCACCCTCCACTCCACCCTCCAACCTCCCAACCTCCACACTCACCCTCCAACCTCCCAACCTCCACCTCCACCCTCCAACCTCCCAACCTCCACCTCACCCTCCAACCTCCCAACCTCCACCTCCACCCTCCACCCTCCACCCTCCAACCTCCAACCTCCCACCTCCCACCCTACACCCTCCCAACCTCCCACCCTCCCAACCTCCCACCCTCCACCTCCACCCTCCACCCTCCACACTCCCAACCTCCCACCCTTCACCCTCCACCCTCCACCCTCCACCCTCCCACCTCCACCCTCCACCCTCCACCCTCCACACTCCCAACCTCCCACCCTTCACCCTCCCACCCTCCACCCTCCACCCTCCCAACCTCCCACCCTCCACCCTCCACTCTCCACCCTCCACCCTCCACTCTCCACCCTCCACATTCCCAACCTCCCACCCTCCACCCTCCCAACTTCCCACCCTCCACCCTCCACCCTCCACACTCCCAACCTCCCACCCTCCACCCTCCACTCTCCACCCTCCACACTCCCAACCTCCCACCCTTCACATTCCCCCTCCCCTTTGGGCTCTTCTCCCATCCCTCAACCTCCATCCCAGTGTCCTCCATCCCAGTGTCCTCCATCCCCATCCCAGTGTCCTCCATCTCCATCCCAGTGTCCTCCATCCCAGTGTCCTCCATCCCCATCCCAGTGTCCTCCATCTCCATCCCAGTGTCCTCCATCCCAGTGTCCTCCATCCCCATCCCAGTGTCCTCCATCCCAGTGTCCTCCATCTCCATCCCAGTGTCCTCCATCCCAGTGTCCTCCATCCCCATCCCAGTGTCCTCCATCCCCATCCCAGTGGTGTCCTCCATCTCCATCCCAGTGTCCTCCATCTCCATCCCATTGTCCTCCACCCCAAGGTCCTCCATCCTCCAACCACTTGTCCTCCATTCCTCCATCCTGGGGTTCTCCATCCCGGGGTTCTCCATCCCAGGGTTAATCTCCCACCCCTCTGTCCCCCACCTCATTGTCCCCCACCCCATTTTCCCCCCATTGTCCCCCCCGTGCCCACCGGCAGGCACGAGGATGTTGGCGAGGATGCAGCCCCGGCGAGCGCCTAGAGTCCCCCTGTGCCCCCACCCCCATTGTCCCCCTGTGCCCACCGGCGGGCACGAGGATGTTGGCGAGGATGCAGCCCCGGCGAGCGCCAGGAGCCCCCCTGTGCCCCCACCCCCATTGTCCCCCCATTGTCCCCCCTGTGCCCACCGGCGGGCACGAGGATGTTGGCGAGATGCAGCCCCGGCAGCGCCAGGGCCCCCCTGTGTCCCCCACCCTCTGTCCCCCAACCCAACCTTTCCACCCCACCCCTCTCTCCCCTCCCCTGTCCCCCACCCTCTTTCCCCCCATTGTCCCCCACCCCATTTTCCCCACCCCATTGTCCCCCACCCCATTTTCCCCACCCCATTGTCCCCACCCCAACCTTTCCACCCCATTGTCCCCCATTGCCCCCACCCCATTTTCCCACTCCATTGTCCCCACCCCAATCTTTCCACCCCTCTGTGTCCCCACCCCAATCTTTCCACCCCTCTGTGTCCCCCACCCCATTGTCCCCCACCCCTCTGTTCCCCACCCTGTGTCCCCCAACCCAACCTTTCCACCCCATTGTCCCCACCCCTCTGTCCCCACCCTCCATCCCCCCATTGTCCCCTGTGCCCACCGGCGGGCACGAGGATGTTGGCGAGATGCAGCCCCGGCGAGTGCCAGGCCCCCTGTGCCCCCACCCCCATTTTCCCCCGTGCCCACCGGCGGGCACGAGGATGTTGGCGAGATGCAGCCCCCGGCGAGCGCCAGAGCCCCCTGTGCCCCCCATCCCATTTTCCCCCATTGTCCCCCATTGCCTACCGGCGGGCACGAGGATGTTGAGCGGAGATGCAGCCCCGGCGAGCGCCAGGGCCCCCCTGTGCCCCCCACCCCATTTCCCCCATTTCCCTCCCCGTGCCCACCGGCAGGCTTACGAGATGTTGGCGAGGATGCAGCCCCGGCGAGCACAGAGCCCCCTGTGCCCCCACCCCCATTGTCCCCCTGTGCCCACCGGCGGGCACGAGGATGTTGGCGAGGATGCAGCCCCCGGCGAGTGCCAGGGCCCCCCCCTGTGCCAGGCGGCGCCCGAGCCCGGAGATGGCGAGCACGGACAGGAATTTGGCCGGGATGTCGACGGCCCCGAACACCAACTGGCTGACGTAAACATCCACCCCGAAACCCTGCAGGTCCATGGCCAGCCCGTAGTAGGCGAAGCTGGTGGAGAACCTGGGCCGGGAACACCGCGGGGAGGGTTGGAAACAGAGAAAAAAAAGAAAAATGAGGAGAAAATGTCCCAAAAAATGTCAGAAATAGGGGGGAGGAGCTGACCTAAAAATATAAAAAAAAGGGGTGGAGAACCTGCTCTGAAAATATCAAAAATTGGGTGGAGAACCTGCCCTGAAAACGTAAAAAATTGGGTGGGGAAGTTGCCCCAAAAAATGCCAAAAATAGGGGGGAGAAGCTACCCTAAAAATATAAAAAAAGGGATGGAGAAGCTGCCCTGAAAATATCAAAAATTGGGTGGAGAGGCTGCCCCAAAAAAGGTCAAAAATAGGGTGGAGAAGTTGCCCCAAAAAACGTCAATAAAGGGGTGGAGAACCTACCCCAAAAACATCAGAAATAGGATGGGGAATCTACCCCCAAAAAACACCAAAAAATAGGTGGAGAACCTGCCCTGAAAACATCAAAAAAGGGATGGAGAACCTGCCCCAAAAACACTAAAAAAGGAGTGGAGAACCTACCCCCAAAAATGTCAAAAATAGGGGGGAGAAGCTGCCCCAAAAACATAAAAAAAGGGGTGGAGAAACTGCCCCCAAAACACCAATAAAGGGGTGGAGAAACTGCCTCAAAAACATCAAAAATAGGGTGGGGAATCTACCCCTAAAAACACCAAAAAAGGGGTGGAGAACCTGCTCCAAAAAATGTCAAAAATAGGGGGGAGAAGTTGCCCCAAAAACATCGGAAAAGCGATGGAGAATCTGCCTCCAAAAACATCAAAAATAAGGTGGAGAAACTGCCCCCAAAACACCAAAAAAAGGTGGAGAAACTACCCACAAAACATCAAAAATAGGGTGGAGAAACTACCCCAAAACCACCAAAAAAGGGGTGGAGAAGCTGCCCCAAAACCACCAGGTATTGAATTTTTTCCCCAAAAAAGTGGTTTTTTTTCCCTAAAAGATGATTTTTTTCCCCCAAAAAAGGTGTTTTTTCCCCCTAAAACTACTTTTTCCCCCCCTCCCAAAGGTGGGGTGGATTTACTCCCAAACAAACCTTTTTTACCCCAAACAAGACTTTTTTTTTTACTCCCCCTCCCCCAAGGTGAAATTTTACCCCAAAAAGGTGAATTTTGACCTCTGGAAAGGGGAGATTTCCCCTAAATAGAGGAATTCCCCAAAAAGGGGATTCCCCAAAGGGATTTCCCAAAAGGGATTTCCCAAAAGGATTTCCCAAAAAGAGGATTTCCCCTCAAAGGGATTTCCCCAAAGGGATTTCCCCCAAAGGGGATTTCCCCCAAAGGGGATTCCCCAAAGGGATTTCCCCAAAGGGATTTCCCACAAAGGATTTCCCAAAAGGGATTTTCCTCCCAAAGGGAATTTCCCAAAAGGATTTCCAAAAAGCGAATTTCCCCAATCAGGTGAGGTTTTACCCTAGAAGGTGAGGGTTTTTTGCCCAAAAATGTGATTTTTTCCCTGTTTTTGGGACGCACCAGACGAAAGCCACCCCGCACGACACCGTCCTCATGCCGGGGGTCCGCACGAGCGCGGCCACCGAACCCCCTGAGCCCGGCGGCTCCCGCAGCACCAGAGCCCGCAGAGCCTGCGGGGAGGGGAGAGAACCCGGTCCGGGGATCCTGGGGATCCAGGGGGATCCGGGGAAAATTCGGGGATTTGGGGCAGGGGAACCTGGTCCGGGGGATCCGGGGATCCAGGGGGAATTCGGGGGAATCCGGGGAATTCAGGGATTCGGGACAGGGGAAGGTTCAGGGGGATCTGGGGAGAATTCTGGGGGATCCGGGGAATCGGGGCAAGGGAGAGGATGCAGGGGGATCCCAGGGGAATTCGGGGGATCCGGGGAATTCGGGGATCCGGGGCAGGAGGGATCCAGGAGGGATTCCGGGGAATTCCGGGGATTTGGGACAGGGGAAAGGTCAGGGGGATCCCGGGGAATTCGGGGATCTGGGACAGGGAAAGGTCCAGGGGATCTGGGGGAATTCGGGGGATCTGGGGCAGGGGAGGGATCCAGAGGGATTCTGGGGAATTCTGGGGATTCGGGACAGGGGAAAGGTCCAGGGGATCCCGGAGGAATTCGGGGGATCCAGGGGAATTCAGGGGATTCGGGACAGGGAAAGGTCCAGGGGGATCCTGGGGAATTCTGGGGATTCAGGACAGGGGAGGGGATCCAGGGGGATCCGGGGAAATTCGGGGGATTTGGGACAGGGAGAAGGTCCAGGGGGATCCTGGGAATTCGGGGGATCCAGGGCAGGAGGGATCCAGGGGGATCCGGAGGAATGCAGGAGGAATTCGGGGATTTGGGGCAGGGAGGGATCCAGGAGGGATTCGGGGGAATTCGGGGGATCTGGGGAATTCGGGGGATCCGGGGATAATTCGGGGGATCCAGGGGAATTCGGGAGGAATTCGGGGGATCCGGGGATAATCTGGGGGATCCAGGGGGAATTCGGGAGGAATTCAGGGGGATCCAGGGGAATTCGGGAGGATCCAGGAGGAATCTGGGGGATTCGGGACAGGGAAAGGTCCAGGGGGATCCCAGGGGAATTCGGGGATCCGGGGCAGGGAGGGATCCAGGAGGGATCCGGGGAATTCAGGGGATCCGGGGATAATTCAGGGGGATCCAGGGGAATTCAGGGGGATCACAGGGGAATTCAGGGGATTCAGGGGATCCGGGGGAATTCAGGGGATTCAGGGCAGGGGAAAGGTCCAGGGGGATCACGGGGGAATCTGGGGATTCTGGGGATCCGGGGGAATCTGGGGGATCCGGGGGAATTCGGGGATTCGGAACAGGGAAGGGATCCAGGAGGGATCCGGGGGAATTCGGGGGATTCGGGGCAGGGGAAAGGTCCAGGAGGGATCCGGGGAATTCAGGGGATTCGGGACAGGGGAGGAATCCAGGATGGATCCAGGACATCCTGGGGGTCCAGGGGAATTTCCGAGGGGGACCTCAGGGGGCTCTGAGGGATGCCGAGAAGTGGGAGGGGTCAGGGACAGGGGAGGGCAGGGATGGAGGGGAGGGCACGAGGGAAGCCGGGGAGGGATCAGAGGGGTGTGGGAGGATCCGGGGTCCCTCCCTCCCTCCCTCCTCCCCCCAACCTCCTCGGTGAGTTTGTCCCCCTCGTCCTTCCTGCCGTTGATCCGGGCCACCTTGCGGAGCCCCCGCAGGGCCAGGTCGGCCCTGCCCGACGTCACCTGCCAGCGAGCCGACTCCACGAACAGCCTGGGGGCACAGGGGGTCAGGGACCTCCCCAAACCCCCAGCACCTCCTTCTGACCCCACCCCGACCCCCAAACACCTCCATCTGATCCCCCTCCCGACCTCCCAGCAGCTGCCAGCGAGCCGACTCCACGAACAGCCTGGGGGCAGCGGGGCTCAGGGACCCCCTCCCGACCCCCAAACACCCCCTCTGACCCCCTTCTGGGACCCCCCAGCACCTCCTTCTGACCCCCTTCAGGGACCCCCACCCCGACCTCCCAGCAGCTGCCAGCGAGCCGACTCCACCAGCAGCCTGGGGGGGCAACGGGGGGCTCAGGGACCCCTCCCCGGACCTCCCAGCACCTCCTTCTGACCCCCCCTGACCCCCAAACACCTCCTTCTGACCCCCTTCAGGGACCCCTCCCCGGACCTCCCAGCACCTCCTTCTGACCCCCTCCCGACCCCCAAACACCTCCTTCTGACCCCCTTCAGGGACCCCCACCCCGAGCTCCCAGCACCTGCCAGCAGAGCCGACTCCACCAACAGCCGGGGGCACGGGGGAGTCGGGGACCCTCCCCAAACCCCCAGCACCTCCTTCTGACCCCTTCTGGGACCCCCCACCCCGACCTCCCAGCAGCTGCCAGCGAACCGACTCCACGAACAGCCTGTGGGGGCACGGGGGGGGGTCAGGGACCCCTCCCCGGACCTCTCAGTACCCCCCTCCGACCCTCCCTCCCGACCCCCAAACACCTCCTTCTGACCCCTTCTGGGACCCCCACCCCGAGCTCCCAGCACCTGCCAGCAGAGCCGACTCCACCAACAGCCTGGGGCACGGGGGGTCAGGGACCCTCCCCAAACCCCCAAACACCTCCTTCTGACCCCCCTCCCGACCCCCAAACATCTCCTTCTGACCCCCTGACCTCCCAGCAGCTGCCAGCGAGCCGACTCCACGAACAGCCTGGGGGCAACGGGAGCTCAGGGACCCCTGTCCTGACCTCCCAGTACCCCCTCTGACCCCCTGACCTCCCAGCACCTCCTTCTGACCCCCTTCAGGGACCCCCACCCCGACCCCCAGCAGCTGCCAGCAGAGCCGACTCCACGAACAGCCGGGGGCACGGAGGTCAGGGACTCCCAGGACTCCCCCGACCCCCAGCACCTCCCCTGACCCCACAAGGACCCCACATCACCACCCTCTGACCTCACAAGGACCCCCAGCGCCTCCTCTGACCCCCCCAGGCCTCACCAGGAGCAGAGGAAGAAGAGGAAGAAGGGCAGGGACACCTCGAGCTGCAGCTGCCACCAAGGACCCCCAAACCCCCCTTTTCTCCCCTGTGACCCCCAAACCCTACCAGGAGCAGAGGAAGAAGAGGAAGAAGGGCAGGGACACCTGAGCTGCAGCTGCCACCAAGGACCCCCAAACCCCCTTTTTCCCCCTGTGACCCCCAGGCCAGGTCCAACCCCCAACACCCCTTTTTCCCCCTTTTCCCCCAAACCCTACCAGGAGTAGAGGAAGAAGAGGAAGAAGGGCAGGGACACTGCCAGCTGCAGATGCCACCGAGGACACCCCAAACCCCCCTGTGACCCCCAAACCCTACCAGGAGTAGAGGAAGAAGAGGAAGAAGGGCAGGGACACCCCAAGCTGCAGCTGCCACCAAGGACACCCCAAACCCCCTTTTTCCCCCAAACCCTCACCAGGAGTAGAGGAAGAAGAGGAAGAAGGGCAGGGACACTGCCAGCTGCAGCTGCCACCAAGGACCCCCAAACCCCTCCTTTTCCCCCCTGTGACCCCCCCAAACCCTACCAGGAGTAGAGGAAGAAGAGGAAGAAGGGCAGGGACACCCTGAGCTGCAGCTGCCACCAAGGACCCCCAAACCCCCCTTTTTCCCCTTTTTCCCCCTTTTCCCCCCTTTGACCCCCCAAACCCTACCAGGAGTAGAGGAAGAAGAGGAAGAAGGGCAGGGACACCCCGAGCTGCAGCTGCCACCAAGGACCCCCAACCCCCTTTTTCCCCCTTTTCCCCCAGACTCCCCCAAACCCTACCAGGAGTAGAGGAAGAAGAGGAAGAAGGGCAGGGACACCCTGAGCTGCAGCTGCCACCAAGGACCCCCAAACCCCCTTTTTCCCCCTTTTCACCCCAGGTCAGACCCAACCCCCTTTTTCCCCCTGTGACCCCCAAACCCTACCAGGAGTAGAGGAAGAAGAGGAAGAAGGGCAGGGACACTGCCAGCTGCAGCTGCCACCGAGGACCCCCCAAACCCCCCCTGTGACCCCCCAAGCCCTACCAGGAGTAGAGGAAGAAGAGGAAGAAGGGCAGGGACACCCTGAGCTGCAGCTGCCACCAAGGACCCCCAAACCCCCTTTGTCCCCCTTTTCCCCCTGTGACCCCAAACCCTACCAGGAGTAGAGGAAGAAGAGGAAGAAGGGCAGGGACACTGCCAGCTGCAGCTGCCACCAAGGACCCCCCAACCCTCCCTTTTCCCCCCTGTGACCCCCCCAAACCCTACCAGGAGTAGAGGAAGAAGGGGAAGAAGGGCAGGGACACCCCGAGCTGCAGCTGCCACCAAGGACCCCCAAACTCCCCTTTTTCCCCCTTTGCCCCCTGTGACCCCCAGGTCAGATCCAACCCCCAACACCCCTTTTTCCCCCTTTTCCCCAAACCCTACCAGGAGTAGAGGAAGAAGAGGAAGAAGGGCAGGGACACCCTGAGCTGCAGGTGCCACCAAGGACCCCCAAACCCCCTTTTCCCCTCTTTTCCCCTTTTCCCCCTTGACCCCCAAACCCTACCAGGAGTAGAGGAAGAAGACGAAGAAGGGCAGGGACACCCTGAGCTGCAGCTGCCACCAAGGACCCCCTTTTCCCCCTTTTCCCCTGTGACCCCCTGTGACCCCCAAACCCTACCAGGAGTAGAGGAAGAAGAGGAAGAAGGGCAGGGACACTGCCAGCTGCAGTTACCACCAAGGACCCCCAAACCCCCTTTTTCCCCCTTTTGCCCCCTGTGACTCCCCAGGCCAGATCCAACCCCCCAACACCCCCTTTTCCCCCTTTTCCCCCAAACCCTACCAGGAGTAGAGGAAGAAGAGGAAGAAGAGGAAGAAGGGCAGGGACACCCCGAGCTGCAGGTGCCACCAAGGACCCCCCAAACCCCCCTTTTTTCCCCCTTTTTCCCCTGCTTGACCCCCAGGCCTCACCAGGAGTAGAGGAAGAAGAGGAAGAAGGGCAGGGACACTGCCAGCTGCAGATGCCACCGAGGACCCCCAACACCCCCTTTTTCCCCTGTGACCCCCAGATCAGACCCAACCCTCCCTTTTCCCCCCTTTTCCCCCCAAACCCTACCAGGAGTAGAGGAAGAAGAGGAAGAAGGGCAGGGACACTGCCAGCTGCAGGTGCCACCGAGGACACCCCAAACCCCCCCTGTGACCCCCCAAACCCTCACCAGGAGTAGAGGAAGAAGAGGAAGAAGGGCAGGGACACCCGAGCTGCAGCTGCCACCAAGGACCCCAAACCCCCATTTTCCCCTCTTTTTCCCCTGTATTCCCCCAAACCCTACCAGGAGTAGAGGAAGAAGAGGAAGAAGGGCAGGGACACTGCCAGCTGCAGGTGCCTCCAGCGGGGCAGGGCGAAGGCCACCCTGCCAGCACGAACTGCCCCAGGGTGTAGCTGTAGCTGTTGATGGTGCCGACCACGGCCGCGCCTCCGTCAGGATCCACTCCATGCCTGGGGGGTGGCGGGGGTGGGGGTCAGTGAGGTCAGTGGAGTCCCGGGGGTTCCCAGCCCCTTTGGGGTCCCGGCCCACCCCTTTTGGGAGTCCCACCCCCTTTCGGGGGTCCCAGGGGGTCTCACCCCTTTCGGGGTCCTAGGGGGTCCCACCCCCTTTGGGGTCCCGGGAGTGTCCCACCCCCTTTTGGGGTCCCACCCCTTTGGGGGTCCCGGGGTCCCACCCCTTTGGGGTCCCGGGGGTCCACCTCTTGGGGGTCCCGGGGGGGTCCCACCCCCTTTCGGGGGTCCCGGGTGGGGTCCCACCCCCCTTTTGGGGGTCCCCTCCAAATCCTGGGGGTCTCATCCCATCCCCGGGGGTCCCCTCCCAATCCTGGGGGTCCCACTCCCCCTTTTGGGGGTCCCACCCCCCTTTTGGGGGTCCCGGGGAGGGTCCCACCCCTTTGGGGTACCCTCCCAATCCCAGGGGTCCCACCCCCCTTTTGGGGGTCCCGGGGAGGGTCCCACCCCCCTTTTGGGGGTACCCTCCCAATCCCAGGGGTCCCACCCCCCTTTTAGGGGTCCCCTCCCAATCCTGGGGGTCCCCTCCCAATCCCGGGGATCCCACCCCCCCCTTGGGGGTCCCCTCCCAATCCTGGGGGTCCCCTCCCAATCCTGGGGTCTCATCCCATCCCAGGGGTCCCCTCCCAATCCTGGGGGTCCCAACCCACACCTTGGAAGTCCCAGCCCCCCCCTTGGGGGTCCCTTCCCAATCCCGGGGGTCCCACCCCCATTTTGGGGGTCCCACCCCCTTTGGGGGTCCCGAGTGGGGGGTCCCACCCCCCCTTTGGGGGTCCCCTCCCAATCCCAGGGGTCCCACCCCCATTTTAGGGGTCCCCTCCCAGTCCTGGGGGTCTCATCCCATCCCTGGGGGTCCCATCCTCCTTTGGGGGTCCCCTCCCAATCCTGGGGATCCCACCCCCCTTTTAGGGGTCCCCTCCCAATCCCAGGGGTCCCACCCCCCTTTCAGGGGTCCCAGGGGGTCCCACCCCTTTGGGGTCCCACCCCTTGGGGGTCCCGGGGGTCCCACCCTTTGGGAGTCCCCTCCCAATCCTGGGGTCCCCTCCCAATCCTGGGGTCCCACCCCCCTCTTGGGTGTCCCCTCCCAATCCTGGGGGTCCCACCCCCCTTTTGGGGGTTCCACCCCCACTTGGGGGTCCCTTCCCAATCCTGGGGGTCTCATCCCATCCCTGGGCTTCCCCCCCCAAGCCTGGGGGTCGCCTCCCAATCCCGGGGGTCCCCTCCCAATCCCGGGGGTCCCACCCCTTTTGGGAGTCCTCTCCCAATCCCAGGGGTCCCACCCCCCTTTGGGGGTCCCCTCCCAATCCCAGGGGTCTCACCCCCCCTTGGGAGTCCCCTCCCAATCCTGGGCTTCCCCTCCCAATCCCGGGGGTCCCACCCCCATTTTGGGGGTCCCACCCCCTTTTGGGGGTCCCCTCCCAATCCCGGGGGTCCCACCCCCTTTTTGGGGGTCCCAGGGGGTTTCTCACAGAGTGAGGCGGAGTTGAGGGCCACCCCGGCCATGGCGAGCCCGGTGAGGAAGCGCAGGGTGCAGTAGAGGGGGAAGGAGGGGGCGAGGGCCGTGCCCACCCCCGCCACCTCCATCTGCAGGTAACACCAGCTCAGCAGCGCCTGCCGCCCCAACCTGCAGGGCACGGCACGACAGGGGCGGTTGGGGGGGCGTTTGGGGGTAAATGGGAGGATTTGGGGGGGATTTAGGGGGATTTGGGGGATTTGGGGGAATGGGAGGATTTTGGGAGGGTAAATGGGAGTGTTTGGGGGGTTAGGGGGTAAATGGGGGTAAAAGGGAGGATTTGGGGGATTTGGGGGTAAATGGGAGGATCTTGGGGGATTTGGGGGTTGGGGGTAAAGGGAGGATTTGGGGGATTTGGGGGGGATTGGGGGAGAGAATGGGAGGATTTGGGGGTAAAAGGGAGGATTTAGGGGGTAAATGGGAGGATTTGGGGTGATTTGGGGGTAAATGCGAAGGATATGGGAGGATTTAGGGGGTAAAAGGAGGATTTGGGGGTAAATGGGAGGGGTTGGGGGGATTTGGGGGCAGTTGGGAGGGTTTGGGGAATTTGGGGAAATGGGAGGATTTGGGAGGTAAATGGGAAGGATATGGGGGATATGGGGGTAAAAGGGAGGATTTGATTTGGGGGTAAATAGAGAGGATTTGGGGGATTTGGGGGTAAATGGGAGGATTTGGGGAAATGGGAGGGTTTGGGGATTTGGGGAATTTGGGGAAATGGGAGGATTTGATTTGGGGGGTAAATGGGAGGATTTTAGGGGATTTGGGGAGTAAATGGGAGGGTTTGGGGGATTTGGGGGTAAAAGGGGATTGGGGGATTTGGGGTAAATAGGAGGATTTGGGGGGTAAATGGGAAGGATTTGGGGGAATTGGGGAAATGGGAGGGTTTGGGGGATTTTGGGAGGTAAATGGGAGGATTTGGGGATAAATGGGAAGGATATGGGGACATATGAGGGATATGGGGGTAAATGGGGGATTTGGGGGTAAATGGGAAGGATTTGAGGGGAATCAGGAAAATGGGAGGATTTGATTTGGGGAAATGGGAGGATTTGGGGGTATTTGGGAGGAAGTGGGAGGGTTTGATTTGGGGAAATGGGAAGGATATGAGGATGTATAGGGGATATGGGGGTAAATGGGAGGATTTGGGGAGGATTTGGGGAGGATTTGGAGGATAAATGGGAAGGATATGGGGATATAGGGGGTAAAGAGAGGATTGGGGGATTTAGGGAAATAGGAAGGATATGGGAGGATTTGGGAGGTAAATGGGAGGTTTGGGAGGGATTTAGGGGTAAATGGGAAGGATATGGGAGAATTTGGGGGTAAATGGGAGGATTGGGAGAGGATTTGAGAAATGGGAAGGATATGGGAGGATTTGGGGGGATTTGGGGGGTAAATGAGGAGGGTTCAGGGGAAATGGGAGAGGTTTGAGGGGATTTGGGGGTAAATGGGGAGGATTTGAGGAGTTTGGGGAAACAGGAGGATTTCATTTGGGGGAAATGGGAGGATTTGGGAGGGTAAATGGGAGGGTTTGGGGGGATTTGGGGGTAAATGGGAAGGGTATGGGAGGATTTGGGGGTAAATGGGAGGATTTGGGAGTTTGGGGGAATGGGAGGATTTGATTTGAGGGGAAATGGGAGGATTTGGGAGGGAAATGGGAGGGTTTGGGGGTGATTTGGGAGGTAAATGGGAAGGGTATGGGGAGGGATTTGGGGGGTAAATGTGAGGATTTGGGGGAGGATTTGGGGGGGTAAATGGGAAGGATTTGGGGGGGCATTTGGGGGATAAAAGAGAAGGTTTTGGGGGGGTGATTTTGGGGGATAAAAGGGAAGGATTTGGTGGGTGATTTTGGGGGGGGGTAAATGGGAAGGATCTGGGTGGAGCAGATTTGGGGGGAGGGTGTGACTTGCCCAACTCACTTGTCGGAGAGGACCCCGAAGAGCCCCGAGCCCAGGAGGATCCCGCCCATGTAGATGGACTGGGCCAGCTGCCTCAGCCTCCTGGACTCGCACACCAGGTCCCACTGGTGGGGAGGGGACACCAGGGGTGGGGGAGTCATCACCACCAGCCCCCTGTCCCCTAAGGGTGGGGGGAAAAGACCCCTGGGGGTGGGGTGCCCCCCCCTCACCTCGGTGACGATGGTGTCGGTGAAGGCGCCGTCCAGGTAGACCCACCCGTCGTGGCACGGCTCGGTGGCCGCGGTGGTGGCCGTGGTGGTGGCCGTGGTGGTGGCCATGGTGTGGTCTGTCCCCTTGGCCGTCCCCTTGGTTGTCCCCTTGGCCGTCCCCTTGCCCATGGTGTTGGCCACCCCATTGGTCACCCCATTGGCCACCCCATTGACCACCCCATTGACCACCCCATTGACCACCCCATTGGTGGAACCATCGGCCACCCCACTGACCACTCCATTGGTAGAACCATCGACCACCCCACTGACCATCCCATTGACCACCCCATTGACCACCCCATTGGTCACCCCGTTGATCACCCCGTTGGTCGGACCATCGGCCACCCCGTTGGCCACCCCATTGGCCACCCCATTGGTGGAACCATCGGCCACCCCATTGACCACCCCACTGACCACCCCATTGGTGGAACCATCGGCCACCCCACTGACCACCCCGTTGACCATCCCATTGACCACCCCATTGACCACCCCATTGGTAGAACCATCAACCACCCCACTGGCCATCCCATTGACCACCCCATCGACCACCCTGCTGACCACCCCATCGACCACCCCATTGGCCACCCCATTGGTGGAACCATCGGCCACCTCATTGACCACCCATTGACCACCCCATTGACCACCCCATCGACCACCCCATTGACCACCCCACTGACCACCCCACTGACCACCCCGCTGAGGGACCCGTTGCCCCCCAGGAGGTGCCACTGGAGCTCCCGGTAGCGCCGGCAGCGCTGGGGCCGCCCGTGGCCGTCCAGGGGCAGCGCCACGAGCAGGGGGACGGCGGTGCCGGTGCCGTTGGTGTCGGTGGCACCACCATGGGGGTGGCCCCGGGGCCGGCAGTGGTGCTCGGGGACGCCGGCGCTGAAGTTCTGCAGCAGGTTGTGGCTCGCCAGCATCATCAGCGGCGCCGCCAGCGCCGCCACGTAACACACCTGGAAACGGCCCAGCCCGCCCAGCACCGACAGCAGCTCCGCGAACGACATCGCCCCGCGCGGGCAGAGCAGAGCGGGGCGGGGACGGGGCTGGAGAGGGAGGGGAGATGGAGTTGGGATGGAGATGGGATGGGGATGGAGAGGGAGTGGGGCTGGAGATGGAGGGGAAATGGAGTTGGGATGGAGAGGGAGAGGGAGAGGGGATGGAGAGGGGATGGAGAGGGAGATGGAGTTGGGATGGAGATGGGGTGGAGAGGGAGATGGAGAGGGAGTTGGGATGGAGATGGAACAGGGATGGAGAGGGAACAGGGATGGAGAGGGAACAGGGATGGAGAGGGAGATGGAGAGGGAGAGGGAGAGGGGATGGAGAGGGAGAGGGAGATGGGATGGAGATGGAACAGGGATGGAGAGGAGTGGGGATGGAGATGGGATGGAGACAGTGGGGATGGAGAGGGAGATGGGATGGAGATGGAACAGGGATGGAGAGGGAACAGGGATGGAGAGGGAGCTGGGATGGAGAGGGAGATGGGATGGAGAGGGAGATGGAGATGGAGCTGGGATGGAGATGGGATGGAGGGGGAGATGGGATGGAGATGGAGGGGAAATGGAGTTGGAGATGGAGATGGGATGGAGACAGAGTGGGGATGGAGAGGGAACAGGAATGGAGAGGGAGTGGGGATGGAGAGGGAGTGGGGATGGAGAGGGAGATGGAACAGGGATGGAGAGGGAGATGGAGAGGGAACAGGGATGGAGAGGGAACAGGGATGGAGAGGGAGTGAGGATGGAGATGGGATGGAGAGGGAGTTGGAGAGGGAGCTGGGATGGAGATGGAACAGGGATGGAGATGGAACAGGGATGGAGATGGAAGAGGGATGGAGTGGGAGCTGGAGAGGGAGATGGGATGGAGATGGAACAGGGATGGAGAGGGAGATGGGATGGAGATGGAACAGGGATGGAGAGAACAGG